AGAGGCTCCTTGGAAGAAAGACCTGGTCTTCTGCTTGTGAAAGGTCATAGCTTTGAAAACCCTATGAAGCAGTTCTACTCTTCACAAATGAGGTTGCCATGAGTTGGAATCAAATTGGTGCAAATGGTTTGGTTTTGGTAGCGTAGTGCCTAAGGCACTTGACTGCTAACCAGAAGGCTGGTGGTTCAAACCCACCAGCCACTCCTCGGAAGGAAGTTTGGACAATCTACTTCTGTAGTGATACTGCCTCGGAAACCGAAGGAGGGGTCACTATGAGTCGGGTCTGACTCGATGGCACAAAACAACAACAAATGAATAAAAATGCTGTGGTATTGGGAATTTCTAGATAAAAAAATAAACAGAAGTTTTTTACAGGAGTATTGTTTAGCAATTTCAGCCTGTATAATTACTAATATCCAAGAGAGAGGTTTTATGTAGCGTTTTCAAACTTCTTTCTTGAGGGATCATATAACCACAGTAGTGTTTTGAGGGGCATTTGTGGAAAATGATTTTATAGAAGAACGAAGGGAATATATATAGGTTTTGTTAATCATCCATAAATATAAAGAAGTTTCTTAAGACAACTAAGTAGCGGAGAGTTCAATAGTGCTTTCTTTGGGGGGGCAGGTGTTCTCTGCTATTGATGAAAAGCAGATCTAGGTGCTTTGCTAATCAACAAACAAACTGCAGGGTTAGCCTTCTTCAGCAAAAACTAACATCACCCACAATATGTGCCAGAGTGACCTAAGATGATTCAAAGTGGGGTCCATATATTCATGTGGGGTCACATTTTCTTCACTTGGACACAGACACAAATGATTTGGAGCTATGACAGAGAGTGGCAGTAGTTTTAACTTGGACATACTTCTAAGTCAGTGTTACCAGTTGCCTTTCATATATATTAAAACCTTCTAATAAGGCACAGTTGAGTTACTAGTTTAGTAATAACCATATACATTTATAGGAGCTCTGGTAGCGTAGTGCCCAAGGCATTTGACTGCTAACCAGAAGGCTGTCAGTTCAAATCCAGCAGCCACTCCTCGGAAGGAAGGTTGGGCAATCTACTTCCATAGTGATACTGCCTCGGAAACCCAAGGAGGGGTTGCTATGAATCAGGTCTGACTTGACGGCACATAACAACAACAACATATACATTCATTACATATAATTTTCTTATAAACCTTCTAAGATAGGTTGCAAAATATATCTTGGGGAAAATAAATTCATCTATTACCTAGAATAAGGAGCTCTGGTGGCATAGTGCCTAAGGCATGTGACTGCTAACCAAAAGGTTGGCGGTTCAAACCCACCAGCCACTCTGTGGAAGTAAGACCAGGCAATCTTATTTCCGTAAAGATTTACCACTTTGGAAACCCTATGGGGGTCATTATGAGTCAGAATTGACTTGATAGCAGTGGGTTTGGCTTTTTGATTTATGACCTAGAATGGTGAAAAGTAAATCAATTGAATATTGGAAGATCTCTTCTAAAAATGATAGGATTTTGGAGAAATAGCTCTTAAAAAAAAAAGAAAAGAAATTTTATTGTGATTTGGGTGCAAATTGACAAACCAGATTAATTTTACTGTCAATAGTTCATGTACATTTGCTATCAGGCCCCTATTACAATCCTTAACCATAAACAGCTCTCCTTCCATCTCCTCCTTGTGACTACCCCTCCCTGAGCCCTTCTTATCTATGCATATCTGTCTGTCTAGTTTTTCCTCTATGTGAATGCTGCGCCTTTCTGATGTCTCATGGTTGATTGATCTAAGGGGTACATCTCCCTATAGTAGGTGGGTGCATCTCCCTGGAATAGGTGGGCACATCTCCCTGGGGTAGATGTTCTGCTTGTAGGTCTTTCTGCTGTTGGCCTGAGAACTAATCCATGAAAGTGAGTCCATTTCCAGGCCCAAAGGGTAATCCAGGGCCATAGTCTTGAGGGTTCCACCAGTCTCTATCTGACCAGTAATTCTGGCCCTTTTTGTGTTTTTGAATGTTGTTTCACAGTTTTCCTCCCACTCTACCCAGGATCTCCAATTTTGATCCCTTTCTGAGTGGTTGGCGATGGTAGCAGAGCACCCTCTAGTTCTTCTGATCTCAAGGTTGTGAGGCTGAGGTCCTCATGATGCATCATATCTTTGGACTAATTGTTTCCAAATGACTTCTGTTTTCTTCACTCTTCTTTGCACCAGAAGGGAAGAGACCAATAGTTGCATCTTAGATGGCTGCTTGAAAGCTTTTAAGACCCCAGTTGCTACTCACAAAAGTAGGATGTAGAACAAAGTTTTTATATACTGTATTGTGCCAATTGAGCACGATGTCCCCCGAGACTATGGTCCCAAGCCTGCAGGCCTGGTGATTTAGATAAGTTACTCTCAGTCTTCCTGATAGCAGTTAGGTAAGGTTATTTGTCTATTGAAACTTCAATGTTCTGGCAGTAAAATTTTAGTGAGTGCAGAGGCTGCATTTTAGATGAAAGAACAATAGTAAGTTGCCTGCCTTTAAAAGCACAGATATTTGCATTCGTTTCAATAAATTATGATAAAATTATTTCTAATAATAGATGTTTTTATATTCTTAGTTTGCTGCTTTTAAGTGACTATTTGGGAATAGCAGCAAAACCAGATGTGTTAGGTTGCTGCTGTGTAACTTACTAAATACATAAAAATTCTCAGTTATTTGTCAATTATAATTTAATTTACCATGCATAATCTGTGCTAAAAGGAAGAACATTATGAAGTGATAATATTGAACTAAATAATATCCTTAGGTTGGTCATCTAAATTCTGTAATTTCCACACCAACTTGTTAGCATTGAGGCTTGAATTTTGAGTCACTCTTGACTCAAGTCTTCCATAATCACCTCCTTTGCTCCTTGAATTTATTTCTTATAAATAAAATTGGAAAGGGCATTAAAAGTTCAGAAATTATCTTAAGACTAATAACAAAAGCATAAAGTACTCTCTGACATTTTTATATTCTTTACTTTTTAATACTCTGTACAGATTTCTGTAGAAATCTATATAAATCTCTATTTAGCATATTAATTCTGGAATTTTTACTCATAAGGGTACATTTTGAAGTAAATTACCTTTTGTTATGTAGTATAAGTAATGAGAGAAAAGTTTGATGCTACTTGAAAAAAATGTGACCTTGGTTTGGCATTCTGGATGTTAAAAAATAATCATTTTGAAAAGAGAATGAGCATTCATATAAAGTTTTATTGCTAGTTTCTTTATCTTGGGACTATAGGTTCCCACTGTGACTGAGAGACAGATTATGCAGGGTTAGGTAGCTTTAATAAAGTTTGTGATAGAATTGAAGAAAAAGGACTCCAGGCAAACCTAGTTTTGCTTGCTCTTTTTCTAACACAAAATAAAAGCAAAAGACAAAAATGCAACACATACTTTGTAAAAATTATCTTCTATTGTGTGGCAAACACAAATATGCAGAACTTATTGAAGCCCCACCAGACTTAGAATTTGAGAGTTCTACTATAGGGCCCTGGTGGTGCAACGGTTAAATACTCAGCTGCTAACTGAAAGGTTGAGGGTTCGAACTCAGCAGCTCAGGGGAGAAAGGCCTGTTGATCTGGCCCTGTGAAGATTACAGCCTAGAAAACCCTATGGGGGCAGTTCTCCTCTGTCACGTGGGGTCACTATGAATCAGAGTCGACTCAATGGTACCTGACAACAAAAAGGGAAATGGAGAACCTGGAATCCTAAACAAAGATTAATTAGAATAAAGAAAAAAATCACTTTGACGATAAAACCGTTGAAGTGATTAAAAAATTACCCTAAAACCTATAAAGGAAAGTTAACCTTTATAAGAAGTTATACATAAAGAGAGAACCAAAAAACCAGACTCACTGCCATCATGTTTATTCCAACTCATAGTGACCCCCTTTGCATTTTCCAGGCGGTAACTTTTTACGGAAGTTGATTGCCCAGTTTTCCTTCCGCAGAGTGGCTGGTGGGTTTGAACTGCCAGCCTTCTGTTAGCAGTCAAATGCCTTAGGCTCTATGCCACCAGAGCTCCTTATATAAAGATAGCAGAGCTAGAAAATGAGAATGGGTTTTTTTAAATAAATTATATGTGGTAAAGTTTTTCCTTGAATGTATAGTGCATACTTTTTCAAAGACTTAAACCTATACCAGGAAGCTTTTTCAAATATCTGAGTTCCTTTCCTGTGAAGAAGACAGCACATTCTTTTACTTTTACAGGAAAGAAAATTGAAAGAGAAATTTGTGTGATAGCAGTATTATGTTTTTGTTACATAGTGTAAACAGTGGCAGACAGGAAAAAAAGTATCCTGACTTTAGTTCTGTATAATTTGTTTAGTTTATTTGTGACTTCACAGAATGAACAATTGCATTTTAGTAATTCATCAAAACTATCATGTGCTTAAAAGGCTGACACTCATGATAAAAAGAAAAAAAAATGTTTAAAGTATATGAAATACATTTTTTAAAAATCATTTATTTCATTGTTGTTGAGAATATGAAAAATGGCATGTTCACCAGTTCGGTAGTTTCTACATGTGTACTGCAGTGCTGTTGATTATATTATTTGAGTTCTGCACCCATATTCGCCCTCCTTTACTGAGTTGTTCCTCCCCTATTAACAAACTTACTGCCTCCTAAGTTTCCTATCTGATCTTTCAAGTTGTGCATGAAATACGTTTTTATTCCCTGGGAGTAAACTGAGACATAAAGCTGAAAGAAATTACCCTAATTATGGCATTGCATTTAGCTTTTGTTGCAAAGCAAACTTGAATTGCGTCAGAGCCTTGGAAAAGTCATGGGAAAGTTTCAGAGGGGAATCCCAAACTTTAATTTAAGGAAGGGAAGAAGAATTGCTGGTCAAAACTCTACAACTATGAGAAAGGGATTGCTTCTACTGTGAACCCAGATGATATTTAATCTAAAAGAAACATCTTATCAGATTGGACATTTTTCAGTTGTTTTTCTTTTCAACTTCTCTATTATTTATTTTACAGTGGATGGAATTGAGGTTCAACACTTTGGCAAAATGCCCACACTGCAAAAAAATGTAAGTTCTTTACCACTGAAAAGACCATTGAGAAGCACTTGAGGCCAATTTAAAGACTTCAGAATTCTCATTTAAGTTGATTTTGACTTTAAGACATTCTATGAGATGAATGCATGCTCAGTATATTTATGCTGTTCAAGATCTTAATAAAAAGTTGTCTTTACACTAATTTATTTATTCCACTTTGGAACTGAATTAGGCTTGATTATCATCCTCTGAAGGGAAATCAGTTTCTAAGAAAGTAAAATTAAAATTATGTGTGTTTGTGTGTGTGTGTGTGAATCATACATAGTTTTATGTATTATCTGTATTTCTACAATGAGTAAAATTAAATTGCAAATATCTTCAACGAGAACATTAAATTGAATTTAAAAAAGTCTTGTAGAAAATAAAAAAAAGGAGAGACTCCTTGTGGTTAGCAAGCATGCAAGTTGTGTGCTAGGCAGGGTGATAGTTGCATTATATAACGTACTTACATGCCAACTATAATCTTTACAACAATTTATAATCCAAAGAATATTGTCTTCATTTTATAGATGAGGAACAGTTAGGGAGGTTAATAATTTTTCTCAAGTGACTTGTTTGGTTAATTATTTTAGAACCATGATGATATTTTGTAATGATAAGTATTGAATGTCTACATTCTCTATGATTTGTTAAAATATCACAAGACAGTGTATTAATGTGAATATAAATTTGCACCAACTACGTAGGGAACAACTTGCACAAAAATTCAAATGGGGTCCCATTCTCAGAAGAATGCTCATAGAATTGGAATCCATGGTAAATGTGGATGTGCTCAGGGCATTATTACTTATCAGGGCATTCCTTCCTTATTTGAGCATGGATGCTGTTATCACATGAACACTCATGGCTGGTGTCAAGATCTCTTTTCCATTTGAATGCTTTTCTCCATAACAAAATGATAGGTCTTTTATTGAAATAAGATTATGAGATAGAATTTTATTTCTTTAAACACAAATTTCAAATATTCTAAAATCATTTTTAAATTACAGGAGTTTCTAAAGCATTACTATGAAACTAAGCCTGTCATGTTGTGTTTATCTCACAAGACACATGGGGGAAACTGCCTGGAGGGCTCAGGAGACCATGAAATGTTTTCTCAACTCACTGTTTCTTGTTTCTTATGCATGCAGCAGCTGGGGCTATTGTAGCTGGAGGTGAAGTTTCTCTTTTAATTGGGCCACTTGTGACCACCACATTAAAAGTTTCTCTTTCAGTTGGGCTGCACATATGGTTCTAGCATTCTGAAATAGAATTTGGTATATATATATCCATACAAATGTTGTAATGGACCTAAGACTAATGGGAAAGTCAATTTTAATCTGCTGCTTGTTCCTTAAACTTCTTATTTTTCCATACCTGAGCAATGCTATTGTCATCTGCTATAATAATTTACTTACTCCCCCTTCTATTCTAATTTTATCCTGTTCTTAAACCTACTAAATAAAGCCTTCCTTGGCTACCTCATCTGGAAATGTTATTCTAAATAACATTGCCTGGTTCCTTTTTTAGCTCTGGTGGCACAGTGGTAAAGCACTCGACTGCTAACCAAAAAGATGGTGGTTTGAACCCACCAGCCACTCCATGGGAGAAAGATGTGGCAATCTACATCTGTAAAGATTATAGCCCTGGAAACCCTATGGAGCAGTTCTATTCTGTCCTATAAGGTCATTGAGTCAGAATTGACTCAACAGAGATTTTTTTTGTTTAGTTATTTTCCTTTTCCCCCCACTGAATTTCTATAGCTCTAATTACACTAGCTTTTCCCAGGTGTCCCACAAAATCCAGTTGTTCTATAGGATGTTCTTTGTTGTGAATGAGAAGGTGAATAAAGCAAAGGTTGATACTTGGGAAACATTGCATGATCCTTTCTTCTTGAAGATTCAGTAACCACATTTTTGTATATTACAGACTCATGACTTTCATATCCAAGAATATAGATTAGTTGACTATAACAAACATCCTTTTAGATGCATATCTCAGTTTATATGAAAGTTAAGAAAACTGAAGAGGAGGTGACAACCAGGGATGTCCTGAGAATGTTAATACTAAAGACATAGAGCCTTGGGTTTCAGTGTTCATGTGAAGAACAAAAGAGAAGGCCTTGATCTTGCAGAAGAGGAAAGAGTTGGGATAAAGTCATCTTTCTCTCAAAAATTCTCAAAGTCATATTCTCTGTGAGAAGAGTAAGGAGAAAAATAATCTACCAGTAAAGGTTACAAAATGGAGGGGATGGAAGGTCTCCCCTAAGAGTTCATAAGGCTTGTATTTATATCATTTCTATGGTCTAGAAACACCCATTCCAAGAAATTTAATTAAAAATGGTTGAGGGTTAGTATTACTGTAGGGAATCTGTTATTGTCTTGTTGTTAGGTGCTATCAAGTGGATTCAAACTCATAGCAGTCCCTTTTACCACAGAATGAAACACTGCCCAGTCCTGCTCCATCCTCACAATCATTGCTATGTTTGAACTCAATGTTGCAGCCATTGTGTCAATCCATCTCATTGAGGCTCTTCCTTATTTTCACTGACTTTCTACAAAGCATGATGTCTTTCTTCAGTGACTGGTCCCTTCTGAAAACATGTCCAAATTATGTGAAATGAAGTTTCATCATCCTTGCTTCTGAGGAGCATTCTGGCTGTACTTCTTCCAAGATAGATTTGTTAGTTCATCTAGCATTCCATGGTATATTCCATATTCTTTGTCAATATCATAATTCAAAGGCATGAATTCTTCAGTCTTCCTTATCCATTGTCCAGCGTTCACATATGAAGTGATTGAAAGTACCACGGTTTGGGTCAGGCACGCCTTAGTCCTCAAAGTGACATCTTTGCTTTTTAACACCTTTTAAAAGTGGTCTTTCATAGTAACTTTGCATAATGCAATGTGTCATTTAATTTCTTGACTACTACTTCCATGGGTGTTGATAGCGGATGCAAGTAAAATGAAATACTTCACAACTTCAATATTTTCTCCACTTATCATGATGTTGCTTGTTGGTCCAGTTGTGATGATTTTTGTTTTCTATATTTTGAGATATAATCCATACTGAAGGTTGAAGTCTTCAATCTTCATCACTAAGTGCTTTAAGTCATCTTCACTTTCAGCAAGCAAAGTTGTGTCATCTTCATATTGCAGGTTGTTAATGCGTCTTCCCCCAAACTTGATGTTGCATTCTTCTTCATATGGCCCAGCTACTCAGATTATTTGCTCAGCATATGGACTGAATAAGTATGGTGAAATAATACAAACGTGATGCATACCTTTCTTGGTTTTAAACTAGGCTGTATCCCTTTATTTTGTTCAAACAACAGCTGCTTCTTGGGCTATGTAGAAGTGCCATATGAGCACAATTATGTGTTCTGGAATTCTCATTCTTTGCAATGCTATCCATAATTGGTCATGATCCACACAGTCGAATATCATTACATAGTCAATAAAACACAGGTAAACATCTTTCTGGTATTCTCTGCTTTTAACCATCTGACATCAGCAATGACATCCCTCATTACAAGTTTTCTAATGAATCTGGCTTGAATTTCTGGAAGTTCCCTGTCAATGTCCTGCTGCAACTATTTTTGAATTATCTTCAGCAAAATTTATTTTCCTGTGATACTAATGATATTGTTTGAAAATTTCTGGATTTTATTGAATCACCTTTCTTTGGAATGGGCACAGATATGGAACTCTTCCAGTCATTTGGCCAGCTAGCTGTCTTTCAAATTTCTTGGCATAGATGAGTGAATGCTTCCAGTGTTGCATCTGTTTGTTGAAAAATCTCAATTGGTATTCCTTCAATTCCTGGAACCTTGTTTTTTTCCACTGCCTTCTGTGCAACTTAGACTTCTCCCTTCAGTATTATTAGTTCTTGATCATATGCTCCCTCCTAAAATGGTTGAACATTGACCAACTATTTTTGACACAGTGACTCTCTGTATTCCTTCCATCATCTCTTTTTTTTTTGTCATCAAAGTGTTGACTTTTATTTTTCTAAGATGAATTTAGAGAAAAACATCTTGTTATGGATGATTCTCCTGTTTGTTTGTATAAGTTAGGGTTTATGGTTTTTTTTATTATTATTAT